TTCTCTTGTCTTTATACATTTTGCCCATTATTCTCTATTTTCTATATTTGAGCACCCCATTATTCTCTATCCTTTATTTTTTATGACATTTATTCTGCACATTTTACTCATTATTCTCTATTCTATAATCCCCATCCAGACCCTCGTCAATACTTTTTCACTCAAATCACAATCTTGACTAATCTCTAATGAATAGAGGAAGTCACTATAGGACAAACCCTTTAAAATCCAATAAAATATATGAACCTGCTTAAACCATGGGATCAATTTGTTATTGACTAGGCATAGTGTCTCCAAATAAAAGTGATTTGATATTGTAATGGACTGGGAAAGTTTGATTTGTGCATTGTCGGTCAGGTGTATAATTATAACATTCAAGTAGGAATTGCTCACTGTTTTCTATTCTCCCCCAAAAACTATGTGTTACTTTCCATGAGATATTTATTGTATAAAGTAAAAGAATGAGTTTGTTCATGTTGTCATTCCTATTTTTACATTTCAGTTCACATTCTTTTCATAATTACACCTTATGTAAGAATCTTGGGTTTTGATTGGTTGATAGCCAGTATATTTTTTACCAATTTACTGTTATCAAATGAATATCGTTCATTTTTTAACGCCGTCGGGGTATATGCAAAAAGGATATACCTTTTTTACCCTCTCTGCCATGGTATTTGCCAAAAAATACTCTATCCGACTGGACGCTTGTAACGTCACGATCATCAATGCGTTTTTGAACGTTAACATTCGGTGTAATTAAACAGATATAGCATGTTCTTGAGGGGTATTTGCGAAAAATACCAGTCTTGAGAATGAATTTCCCTCGCCTTACGGCTCGCGAAATTTAACATTCCCTCGCCTTACGGCTCGCGAAATTTAACATTCCCTCGACTGGTATTTTTCGCAAATACCCCTCCTAGACATGATATATCTGTTCAATAACAGTAGTTACATGCTAAGCATCTGCACAGATGATTTCAAATAAGGTGGCAAAATTGCGCATGCATACAGATCCAAATTAATGACTAGTAAGACAATAAAAGGTCGCTGAAATTTGTCGGCTTATTATGACCAAAAAAATTAACGCATCGTAGATACCAGCATTAAAGATACATGATTTTTTTCATTAGTTGTTATTGGCTTTGAACTAGCTATCAGTAACTGCGAGTACTCCCAGATCTATACTTAGTGTCTTTTTGTTTTTGGGATGTACAAGTACCCGTTCACGTCCATTTTGTGTTTTTGTAAGATGTATTTCTATTTGTATCCATCTGATGGGTTAAGCCTTTTTCAACTGATTTTTATAGTTTATTCTTATATTGTACTGTTACACCACTGTCCAAGGTTAGGGGAGGGTTGAGCGCTCACAAACATGTTTAACCCCGCATCATTCTTAGTGTGCCTGTCCGAAGTCAGAAGCCTGTAGTTATGTTGTTGTCGTTGGTTCATAGATATAAAAAGATGTGGTATGAGTGCCAATGAGACAACCCTCCATCCAAGTCAAAATTTATAAACGTAAACCATTATAGGTCAAAGTACGGTCTTCAACACGGAGCCTTGGCTCACACCGAACAGCAAGCTATAAAGGGCCCAAAAAATTAATAGACGTGTAAAACCATTCAAACGGGAAAACCAACGGTCTAATCTATATAAAAAACGGGAAACGAGAAACACTTATGAACTACATCAACAAACGACAACTACTGAACATCAGATTCCAAACAATTGCAGCGGGTTTAAACGTTTTAATGGTACCAAACCTTCACCCTTATCTGAAACAATAATGTAACATCACAACATAGAAACACACTATAAAATATCAATTACAATGGCTTAACTCAATCAAAAGACATATTAACACCGGTGAACATACACTGAACAAATAAATTTGATCTATGATACAATGCAAATACAAAATAAATAAACTAAGGGAAGAATAAGTAGCATGTTATACCGCATCATGTCTGTCATATTTGTTTTTCATAAACTGTTTTGTTATAAATTATGCCGTTATTTTTCTCAATTGAATTGTTTCATATTTTTCATGTCGGGCCTTTTAATTATAGCCGACCATACGGTATGGGTTTGTCTCATTGTTGAAGGCCGTACGGTTGCCTATAATTGCTAACATCCACTTCAGTTGAACTTTGGTGGATAGTTGTCTCATTGGCAATCATACCACATCTCCTTATTTTTATATTAAAATTTTGCACGCCAGACGTGCATTTCGTTTACAAAAGACTACAAGCATTTAGGTGTCACACTTTCATCAAATGGAAACTAGACCAGCCATATAGATAATATTACAAAGTCTGCACAAAAATTAAAAAAAAGGTAAATGTACTAAGGAAACTAATATTTACACTTTCCCGTTGCGGAAATATATGTTGAATGCATTGTTTTATTAATCATCATCAAGTTTTAAATCACACGACGCAATTTTTTTACCCGAGTGAATTTGCTCTTTTTTCTGGTACACGTGCAAATGGGTGCTGGTTTACCTGTTTTACACAAGTTTAATCTGGTCAAATTGTTTTTGAGTAAAGATCTAAAGGAGAGAAAACAGTGTTTTTGTAATAACTACTAGTTTGGGGCGCTTAGTAACTGCCAGAAAATGGCTGTCACCGAGCAAAAGGTATGTTGGAAGGCGGAATGAGCCTTAGTGGTGTTTCATTAGCTTTGTGTATTCACCTTTGCACAATACTCAGGACCATATGTTCCGTTCTGGATAGGCCTGGGTCAGGAAGATCAAAAGCCCTACCCCTAAAGATGTGACCGCTTCCTACCTGTAACAAGAATATCCGACAGGTTATGGAGAGCCGTATTTCCGGCCAAACAGTACATTATAGACTCAAAAGTTATACGAGCGAGAAGACTACACAAGGGCATGGAACTTACTGCACATCATAGGAGACATCGATTGGCCTGGGCATTATCAGATAAGCGCCGAAACTGGAGGACACTGTTGTTTTCATACGAATCCCGCTTCACACTTAAATTTGAAGATGGTCGACTCCTATTATGCAGACGTTTTGGAGAACACTTTTTGGACGACTCGGATATGCCAGTTGATCGTTTCTGTGGTGGTAGTTTGATGGTGTGGGGGAGGTGTCCATCACAAAGGAAAAACAAATTTGGTGATGTTAAGTCAAACTCTTAATGCACGTTATTGTAATGATAGTATGCGCCCGTTGCGATCCCTTTTATGAACAGTAATGACGGTTTTTATCAACAAAACAGTGATAGGCCACATACCGCTCGGCTAGCTTACAATAAACGAGTTACAAGCAAACAATCTTTATTAACGATTTTTATTCGACTAAAATAGGCACCTTATGGTAAACTTTCTGTGTTACAATAATTTATGTATTGTTATATTTCGAATTATAGATCATATTTCAATATGAAATTTGAAATATGTGTTGCTAAACTTTTTTATTCAGTATAAAATGCGGTAAAAGAAAGACAACTGGTGTAGACACATTAGAAAATATTTCTGAAAATTGTTTTATGTCAAGTTCCTATCACAGGTACAATACAGAATATCTGCATTATATAAACAGTTAGTGTATAAGGTTTTTTATTTTCAAATATTTTACCTCGAGCATCATTGAAGAGACACTAACTGTTGAAATGCAAATCTGGTGTAGTAAAATTGGTACAGTTAGTGTTGTTAATGTCAAATTATTTTCTTATGTTTTTATTTATAATCATAAAACAGAAAAGGCGTTTGGGATGAATTCCATGCATAGAAATGTGTTTTTAGAGCAACCTTCGTCAATTACGCTCTGAATCAACAGTTTGGGGAACCATCGTACCGATCTTTTGAGTTAAGCCCATCGCAACTAAATAGGGTATCCAGGGTTGAGATGGGGTTTAGGGTTTTTTATTTGTGTTGGTCAATCTGTGTAGCGGTTTTTATCATTTTGTTTATCTTTGGGCCACAGTGTTTTATGATTTTCTCGATTGTTCATTTTCCTTAACGTAATTTTTTTTAACAAAAGTAGGTAAACGTTTCTTAATTTGCTTGATGCAACCTAAGTTGTCTGATTAAGTAAAAAGGTAGAAATCGATGGAAAAAGAGAGCCTGTAAAACATCATTTAAGGGAAATTCTTCAAACTTTGATTGCAATATTCCCTTTTCAAGGTTGGTTTCTATTGAATTTAATTTTGATCGCACTTATATGTTATATGTCCAGTCGCAGGCTCATCGAGCCAAATTTTTTTTAATTAGGATAATATAGACCAAAGAATCAAGATACAATTTGCACTGAAATTTTATGTAAATTAATCCAACACATTTGAGTTTTATGGAAGCTGGTTAGCTATGTTTTACAATAATTTACTTATTATTAAAAATTTATTAAAATTTAAGAACTCAAATTAAAGAAACGGAATTTCACTCTTCTCTATAGTAAATTACTTACAGCGCAAAGAAGTTGACAGATTGCCTTTCGGAACCTATGCGTTTATTAAATGCACTGTAAAGAAAAGACAATGTTTGTTCTTACATTGTTTAAGCTGTTCAATTTGTGTTTTTGATGTTGTTAACATGCATTTGCCTTTAAAAATTGACTTTGTATGACTGACAGGAACATTGATGATTGCTTTTGATCAAATGAAAGCATATAAGCGACGAACAATACGAATGGAATAATTATATGTTTTGATAAAGGGACATTAGGGACTGTTAACCTGTAAACTGTAACCTGAAAGGCGGGAATACAGGTGGGGGGATGGGGGGGGGGGGGGCTTAAAAATGTTTAAGCATGGAAAGGAAATGTCCAATTTTTCAATACCTCAGAATACCTCATCTCCTTATTTGTATACAGAACAGCTTTTAAAAAGAGCTAGTTAAGCAAAGGAAATACAATGTACAATCATGTATGTCATTGTAACAATGATAACAATGCTGATTAATAACCTTGTTTTTAAATTTTAAATTTGCATGGCGTGAAATAATTAGCATATAATTTACATAAGAAATAAACAAAGGCTATTTACATATCATGTCATGCTATTCATGATATTAACTAACCTAACTTTTTCTTTACTTTCATTTACCAAAAGTTCTTGATCCAGAATGCAGATTTTCAGCACAAATGTAGGTGAGTGAATGGTATTGTATTTGACAAAACCTTTTTTTGAATTTTTGGTCCTTAATGCTCTTCAAATTAGTATTTTCTTATGCGTTTTTGAACAATTTTATTTGAGCGTCTTTTATAAATAAAATGCTCTCTGGCGCACAAAATTTAAAGTCTGGTATATATCTATAATGAGTTTATTTGTTTAGCTTGTTTTTTAGATGTCAGTCATCATATTTGTTAGATTCGACTGCGTGTTAGCATTAAATTTCATATGTCTATACACGAGAAGGTATGTCAGAGGTTTTATATCCTTTTTATCCTTTTTACAGTGCATTCCTCTTCTGTTTATACATTCTTGCACATTAAATCATAAAAACTTTTTTTTTATTGATATTCATTACCATTTATAAGTTATATAAGGGTATCAAATGAGGGGGTGGACAGGGGGTCCCTGATTCCCACTTTCCTCCCCCCCCCCCCCCCCCCTACGCCTACTTTCCTCAACACTACACCAAATCCCCCTACTCCCACTTACTTCCCCCTTACTCTCCGACGAACATCGGTCAAAATGTTTTCCCCAGAATATCCCTATTTGTACTCCCCCTCTTCCCCGGTTCCCGCCGCCTGACTCCCGCTTCTCTCGCTCCTGACTCCCGCTTCCCTCGCCTCTGACTCTAGCTTCCCGCCCCCTCATTCCCATGTTCCCTCATCAGATGTCACTGTACGTATTTGATACAATCGTATCGTATTAAAAGAAAAACAAAGGCCGTCGTTAGTAAAAGCAGAGAAACTGAACTGAAACTAACATGGCACTATGCATTTTTTGTATATATTCACAATTGCCTTGATATGTTATAATTACAGTTCAATCATTTTTTATAATCATGGTCATATAAGATGAGGGTCAAGTCCCTTAGCTTCTCCAATAAATTGTTCCTGGACATACTGCTCTATTTCTTTTTCAGTTGAATTAAATCGCCCATCATCATATTACATTTCTGTTGTTAACTGTGATAATTAACCTTGTACAATGTAAAATTAAAATTAATTGCTTAATATGTTATATGTCATTGTTTAGTCAGATAATTACTTTTAGCTACGAATATCTCTGCTGAGTGTGTTTTAAGATGCAAACACCTATAACTTACAATTTCTTGACATCCTTATGGTGACTGGCGTATATTAATATGGTCATCCTTTAGTCTTCATCCGACCAACAGTCAAATTCTTGCCGAAGTGTAGCGTCCCTTTTGCTGTGTGGGATGTATAAAAACACAACCACTTTCGGTCGGAATTAGGACGTTAAATTCTATGCCTCTTGTATAGAGAGAGAAAGAGTGCCATGCCCTGTAAACCTTATAGAAGTCTTGATACAAATCACTAGGGGTTTCCAGGTGGCCTGCTGCAAGACTAAATATATGTACATATCAGGAATCTGATGTTCAGTAGCTGTCGTTTGTTGTAGTGGTTCATAAGTATTTCTCGTTTTTAATATAGATTAGACCGTTGGTTTTCCCGTTTGAATGGTTTTACACTAGTAATTTTTGGGGCCCTTTATAGCTTGCTGTTCGGTGTGAGGACTCCGTGTTGAAGACCGTACTTTGACCTATAATGATTTACTTTTATAAACTTTGACTTGGATGAAGAGTTGTCTCATTGGCACTCATACCACATCTTCTTATATCTATATCCAATATATCCTAATTTTTCAGTGACAGTTCAAATTTCCAGTCGTTCATCCCGGTCTACCCCTACTTTGTAGAACCTACTTATTGTATTATTGTTAATTTGTACTCGTCCTGAACATTAATGAAATATTTGCCACTGGACGTAAAGCAAACAAGATTCAGTGCGACGCACGACAAAGTTGTTTAAAAATTGCTTGAAACCTCTCATGTATGCATAAACTATTCTTAAAACAAACTCTTGAAGCTTATTACATACTATTAGGCTTAAATTAATTGCTAGCATAAAATCTGTATTGCGGTCTATGTAGTGTCAACATGTAATACTTCGCTATTGTTGTTTGCCCTTTCGTCGTGCTTATTTTTGGCCATGTGGTAGGGTGTTTTTATTGGAATTATGATTTTCAAAAGCCCACTTGATATCTTCTCTGTTTCTTTTCAAAATATATAATTCAGGAATCGTGTCCAACTAAGATTTTTGGTGAATGTGTTACAAGGCATATACTGCATAAAAACAGACACATTAATCCTCACCTAAAATGGGGCAGAATTTCTTTGTTAAAGAATTGCATAAATTAAAGTAATGAATCTTTAACGTCATAATATGATTAGTAGCGAGGTGTTTTGTTAAATTATATTTAAAGGTAGTTCGCGGGATAAATCAACTATGATATTTAACATGCACAGCTCATTATTCAAATTTAACATGTAAAATACTTAAAAAAAAATAACTGACAGGAAAAGTTAAGTACTAATTAAGAACTAGATTAATCCCGTATTGTAATTATTTTTGTTTACTTCTCAATGATTTTGTCTGTTTTCTGCACATGTTTCTAATTTTCGGTTGGGCGGGGGGATGATTACTACCTAATTGGCATATATCCTACCACTATTAATTCCTTCCTTTAAATCATGTAGCAGATTATCTGTTACACTTATCTGCGTATTACATTTGGTAAAGTTCACCTGTGCACTAATTAGCAAATCTTACTTCTTGTCCTGTTTATATCAGAAGCACAAAAGAAACGATACACGGCAATGCATTTTCCATATATAATGAACTTGGATACACTGTACTAAGGTAAATAATTGCCCAATTGATCTAGTTTATACAGAGTGTTATTTTTTTTATCAAAACCATTGATTTAAGGCAAATACGCAATCTTTTTTTTTTGCAATTTTTGTTAATTCAAAAATCGTTTTTCACCCAAAAATTCGACATTAGAACTTAAAATTTTAAACTTAAACATGGTCTGCTTAAAATTTTGAATGCCTTTGCAGATATTTGAATACTTAATTCTCATCTTCGAAATTAAGTGCCGACTTTTGTCATCATTTTCCGCAAAATAAATTTGACCCCTGTGTTCAATAACGATTCTTTTAATCATATGTATTTGCTTTGCAAATGAATGTTTTTCATTGGACAATTTAACAGTTTTACCTATTTATTATTTTGATGATAAATTGGAGTTCAAATTTATGTATCGTTACTTTTGTTGACTAGTATATATATATATATATATATATATATAATTTAGCTCGTATAACCAACAACCTTTACAAACAAATAACATGTTTAACGCTATATATAGATATTTTACACAAAATAACATGTTCAACGCTATGTAAAAATAAGGAGATGTGGCATGACTGCCAATGAGACAACTATGCACCAAAGTTCAAATGATGTGGATTTGAGCAATTGTAGGCAACCGTACGGCGTTCAATAATGAGAAAAACCCATACCTATAGTCGGGTATAAAAGGCCCCGACATGAAAAATATGATACCATACAATTGAGAAAACTAACGGCCTAATTTATTACAAAAATATTTACGAAAAACAAATAGGACAGACATGAACCAACGACAACCATTGAACTACAGGCTTCTGACTTGGGACAGGCACATATAGAACAGACAATGGTGTAACAGTACAACATAAAAATAAACTAAAAAAATCAGTTGAAAATGGCTTAACTAATCAGACCGATACAAAGCAGAAAAACATCTAACAAAAACACAGACAGGACGTGGCATGGTATTTATACATACCTCACAACAAGAAAGACACAAAGTACAGATCTGAGAGTACTCGCAGTTACTGAAAGTTAGTTTAAACTAAGCCATTAACAACTAATAAAGAAAAAAATACTGTATCTAAGACTTTTATAGCTGACTATGCGGTATGGGTTTTACTCATTGTTGAAGGCTGTACGTACGGTGACATATAGTTGTTTATTTCTGTGTCATTTGGTCTCTTGTGGAGAGTTGTCTCATTGGCAATCATACCACATCTTCTTATTTCTATATTAAATGTCAATCAGTACTCACCCAACATCCAATTGGATTTAGTGTAAAGACGTCATTAACAGTCAGAGAAAAACATGACCTTGTGCAATGACAAAATAAAGGTATCTAACATGAATGTTCATATGTGTATATACATATAACAATAGTTTAATTTTGGATGTAACACGTCTTTTGATTGGCTGAAAGTTATTTGTCTATCAGCTCATAGACATGATTTTGTCATGTGACCGTGACGTCATCAATGTTATTTTTTCATAATTTACTCCTTAAAAATTGAAATTAGAATTAAATTGTAAGGAATAACCGTAATAATTTTTCTGTCTTTTCGAAATAACAAAAAAAATGTGTTGCACATTTTTAAATAACCCGCTACGCGGGTTATTCAGTGTGCACCACATTTTTTATGTTATTTCTTCATAGACCGAAAAAATATAACAGTCATTCCTTAAATAATATTTAGTATGGTTTTAATTTACTGATAATAAAATCAATATCTATACCAATAAAAATAATTTTCAAAGATCTAGTTTCAGTGTTGGTAACCTTTTAGAATAAGTTATTTAAAAGATTGATATAGCTATATGTATTTTGCGCACAAAAAAAGTTAACACTATAACTAGTTTGCACAAAGTAATATGTGTAACGCTATACATAACTATTTTACACACAGTAACATGTTTAATGCTATATAACTATCTTACACAGAGTAACATGTTTAAAGCGATAGCTATTTTACACAAAGTAACATGTTTAAAGCGATAGCTATTTTACACAAAGTAACATGTTTAAAGAGATAGCTATTTTACACAAAGTAACGTGTTTAACGCTATAGCTATTTTACACAAAGTAACGTGTTTAACGCTATAGCTATTTTACACAAAATAACATGTTTAACGCTGTATAACTATTTTACACAATACTTTCGATATTCAAAATTAATATAATTGCTTTTCTATAGATATCACTAGTAGTTTTGGATTATCACTGCTTAAGCATTATCATATATACAAATATCGATATCTCAAAAATTAATAAAAAAAAACATGGAGAAATAACCAAATTTTTACTTTTTAATCCCTTTTATCTAAAATATGACTGACAGGGAAAATCCAGTTATCTGCCCCTTTTTTAAATCATGATCAAAGAACTGCCCTAATATTTAGCAAATTTTATCCTAGGACAGATTATACCGAGTTTACCTTAGAATAGTTTTGTACATTTCTACCCTAGAACCATGACCAGTTCTGACAGATCTACCCTAGATCAGTTTTAGTGAATGACTGTTCTAGCTTGTGTACTAGAACAATGCTAGAGTATATGACTTGTCTTGGATACGGTAGAACTATTTAGAACAGCTCTATGACAGATTATTCTGAAAGTTCTAGAGAAAGTTAAGAACTGATCCAAACAATTAATTTCTTCCAATATTTTAATTTTCATTTGTTCACATACAGCAAATATATCACTAAAAATGTTTATAGAAACATTTGCCATTCATTTTATTGCGGTCATGTAAGAATTTATTTCTTCATCGTGTTTCTATTAGAGACATTATGACAGTTTCACAAACATATCTCATCGTCTTTACTTAAATTAATATTTTTTTAATATTTTCTTTGGCAATTGACCGAGTAATGACCGATGGTGAATTTTTTTTTTTCGTTTCAGCAATCCTGTTTGTTTCTTTTTTCTCTGTGACAAGGTCAAAGTACTGCGATGGACTAACACACTGCATGATAAAATTAGGAGCCCATGTAAAAGAAGCTGTAATAGACGTAAAGAAATTAGATAAAGAAAATTTGGAGAAATTTTATACCACAGTTTGTAGGTTGGTATATAACATATTTTTTTATTATTTGCATTTGTAGAGTCTGCAGTTTATGTCGTGATATTAGAAACAAGGAGTTTTAATATAATTATAGTCCGAAGACCCTTTGATGTGAAGGCCCAATAATCTAAAGACCTTTTAAGGTGGATCATTGGTATAAATTTTCTAAGATAAAATTTTCTTATACTTTGTCGGAATGTAGATTTTTCCATGCTTTTTTTAAATCATAATAAAAAGTATGGATCACCGTGCTATTTTTCAAGCTTCAAGTCTTGCAAAATTGCCGAAATTTGCATAGATTGTTCATGAAAAAACACATTTTTCTGAATAAAAAGAAATCTATGATATAGAATTTTGAAATGAAATTTGAGAAGATAGGTCTTAAAATATGCTTTAAGATAATAAAAAGAAAAAATGGTGCCACCGACCTTGTTTTCTTGCTACAAGTTAAAATTGAAAATTTCTCTATAAATATTTTACTATTTGAGTTATCTCCCCTTAAATGACTAAAATGGCTTTTTGATTCAAACAAACACAATTATTTTGGTATTTGTTAAATCAGTCTAAATTATGCAATAAATCACATTTATTTTTTTATTCCAAATAAACAGTCGTACACAGCCATAATAGCCAATCTGTCTCAAAATTTGCAGATTTAAGCAAAAAACCAGACCGATTGTGAACTGCTATTTAAAATCCAAAATGGCGGTATACAGTTAATCTACCTTAAATAAAGCTCAAAGGTCCGATTGTTCACATGTTGATTTTCGAGAAATAGATGTTTAAACAATGGTAAAATGTCATTTTTGTTAACTGTTCTAAATTGTCTCATATTTGTTTCTCATTTGTCATGTCGGGGTCCTTCATAGCTGGCTATACGGTATGTGGTTTCTCATTGTTGAAGGCCGTACGGTGATCTATAATTGTTAAAATCCATGTCATATGGACTCTTTTTGATATACATTTTTGTCTCATTGGCTATATATCATACCACATCTCCTTATTTTGTTATGATAACTTTTGCAGTAATATTGCATTGTAATAGTTAATCCAAGAAGCGACATAACATATATTTAACTAACTAATAAGTAGTTGAGGTTATTAATATTCTGATCAACTGGAGGTAATCCAATTTAAACCATGTAGCATTACCCATTATATAAAAAGTAAGAAGATTTGGTATGATTGTCAATGAAACAACTCTCCAACAGAGACCAAATGACGTAAATTGTTCGCCACAATAGGTCACCTTACGGCCTTTAATAATGAGCAAAACCCATATCGCATAGCATGCTATTCAAGGTCCCGAAATGTAAAGCGGTTCAAACGAGAAAACTAACGGCCTGATGTATGTACACAACAAAAACGATAACATATATGATATACAGCAACAAACGACAGGCATATAGTTTAAGCATATGTTATTGTTCAAAACGAACAAACGGATTAGGCACAAGTTTTTCAACTTAGTAACGTCTTCTCCAAATGTGGCGGGGTAAAACATCAGTATTTGCCAGTCCCCAACCCTTCCTTTAATCTGAGAAAGTGGTGTAACAGCACAACATAGGAGTCACTATGATGTGTTTGTTTTCTCTGGTAATAATTAATAATAATAATTTATCATACTGCAAACTTACTATTTTAGTGTGATTAGATACTCTATTGAGAATTTGAAAAGATAACTATTCATTTTTTATCATCTAACACCACAAGACAGATGTGTAAGTCTTTGATTTGTATTTTACACTCATTTACCCATACCCCCGTCTGAAATCTAATGAATCTCATTTCATTCATGTTGATAGATTTATGAATTCAGAACAAATAGGTTGATTAAATTCAAATGCGTTTTGTATCTTTTTATAATTCAATTTTTGATGTAACACGTCTTCTGATTGGCTGAAAGTTTTTTGTCTATCAGCTCATAGAAATAATCTTGTCATGTGACCGTGACGCCATCAATGTTTTTTTATGATTTACTCCTTAAATATGGAATTTAGAATTAAATTATAAGGAATGACTGACGCTACACAGGTTATTCAGTGTGCACCACATTTTTTATGTTATTTCTTCATAGACACAAAAAATATTACAGTCATTCCTTAAATATATTTGAAATAGATTTTTTTATCCTAATTATAAAAATAAGAATAACTCTCTCAGCATATATACATGTAGGTCACCGTAAGGCCTGCAACAATGAGCAAAACCCATACTACATAGTAAGCCAAAAAAGGCCCAGAAATGTCAAATGTGAAACAATTCAAAAGAGAAAACTGACTAATTGTTTATTATATATTTCAATTATCAATTTTACTGATGTATTATGGTAACAATTGTAAATCCAGAGTGTTGAAATCAGCACTTCGTTTTTTGTTTTTTGTTTTTTTTTTTTTTTTTGTTGTTTTTTTTTTTGGTCTGTGTGGTATGACTCCCAATCCGTCTATTTCGGCTGTGCGGGATACATAAATACACAGCCACAGCAACAACTCTTTGGTAAATTTGAAAGCGATTTTATTATAATTATTGAAATTAGATAACGAGAGTTGAAAGCAAGCTTTTGTCAATTTTCACACGTTATGAAACTTATAATTACTGAAAGCTTGAAATGTTTTACTATTTGATTGACAGAGATATTGATGATCTGGTGAGATGTTACAATCCACAAAACATTCCTGGCTGTTCAGCTTTTCAGAGCTTTGTACAATTCGTACCATCTAAACATGCCCTTAGGAAGCAGTTTATAGAATTGTGTTCAGAAATAGAAGGTATTTACACATTTATTATGTATAAAAGAATGTGTAAAGATGTGGTATGATTGCCAAAGAGACAACTCTCCAGCTGAGACCAACTGATGTATAGGTTACCGTATGACCTTCAAGTATCTAAATGCTGTAAGGCTTTACACTTTTCCAGTTGCACAGGTTTGTCTGTATTCAGAATATAATTTGTGGTGTAAACTTTGCTTAAAGGTTATGAACCTTTATGGTTTTATCTATGAACATATATGTACGAAAAACGATCTACCGACTAGATTTTCAACTTTCAACTTTTTTAAATTTAATTAAAAAAAAAGGATATGGGCTATTCATCCATGACACAAAATCAGTACATGCATGCACAGCAAAAATACAAAAAGAAAAGAAAAAGCGCTAGTATTGCTGTTCTTCATCTCAAAGTCATAATGAGACCTTCAACACCGCGCAAAATCTCTCATCTCACTGCAAGTTTAAGACATCCACCAGCACCGGTTTGAGTGGAGGAAGTCTTTGTAAACTGACGATTACGGCACAACTGTGAGTTATAGAACAAAATTAAAGACATGGAATAATATCGATAAAATTAAAATGGCAGAGAAATTAAACATTAACTGTCCTTTTGAACTAGACATTCAGTATTGCATAATTTTATCATCTAGATGTAATGTTTTGTCAGAAAAAAATGAAACAAACAAAAACAAATACAAGAACAAAATCAAAGATACACTGAGAAGAAAATACAACGTGCTTTTTTCGTGTTTTGTTTTGACGAACTCTTTATCATCCAGATGTTATGTTTCGTCAGAAAAAGATGAAACAAGCAAAAACAAATACAAAAAACAATAAAAAAAATCACAGATAAAGATGAAAAAACACGTCCTTAGAAATTTTATGAAATACACTATAGGTCGACATACATCTGTCTCACTATAATTCCTTTACAGAAATGGTATTAGCAGCTGAATGTTATAACCAGAAAGGCGTAAAGGAGGGTCTAGAGCAGTGTTTTATTGTAATGATGAGCGATTTCCACCTGTCAGAAAGTGATCCAGAATATAAAGGGACTCAGTGTTCGTAAGTATATCAACCATGAAAATAGTAGAATATAAAGCTTAAGGGACTCAGTGTTCGTAAGTATACCAGCCATGACAATAGTAGAATGTGTCCATAGTACACGGATGCCCCACTCGCAATATCATTTTCTATGTTCAGTGAACCGTGAAATTGGGGTCAAAACTCTAATTTGGCATTAAAAGTAGAAAGATCATAAATTTATCATAGGGAACATGTGTTTACTAAGTTTCAAGTTGATTTGACTTCAACATCATGAAAAACTACCTTGACCAAAAAATTTAACCTGAAGCGGGACAGACGGACGGACGGACAAACGAACTCACAGACCGAAAAACACAATGCTCCTAAGTGGGGCATAAAAATCATGTCAAAATAATTTGATTGATTGATTGTTGGTTCCTTAGCATTCAGTAGCAAATATTTCACGCATATTCAGGACGAAAACAAATTAACAATACATTCAATAGGTATATCAAGTAAACGGGGTCCACCGGGTTGAAGGGTGGGAAATTTGGACTGCCACTGGACAATGAGTGTTAATTTCATACGGACAGACATTAAGCTTTGCACCAGGTCACCTATGGATCCCTCATAGAGTTGTTGTAAGGGTTCTTAACGTACAGAGAGCGTGGCAGTCTCCATTCACGAGGCATCGGATTTAACACTCTTATTCTGACTGGGCGTGGTTGCGAATTTTTACATCCTGCACAACCAAACGGACACCCCATTTTGGCAAGGGTTTTACTACTGATCGGTGGAAAACTAAGTGTGACCATATTTCCATTCCACGGTCACACTGGAATCAAAATATTCTGAATACTAAATAAATCGTGTTCAAAAAGATGATTATTAAAAAAGCATTAATTATCACATTACATTGTAACACATCAATTGCATAAAATAACATTCTTAATGTATATTTGTAGCTTAACCCCTGTTGGCTAACCACTACATGTACATGTAGTTCTTTTAATCAAGAAATTAATTCGCCCAAATGAGTTCAGTTGAAAGTTATTTAGTAAGTTAGAGATAGATTACATGATGCGTCGAGAACAGATATTAAAATAGATTATTCTTTGATATTCTAAATGGATATAAATGTATCCAGACAATTTATTTTTAAAATTTTCAAAAAGTTAATTTGTTAATGAGAACAGGAGTTCCTATGTGTTCATTTAAATATTTCCCTACAAATACGTTGACAATTTATGTGTTACAATATCAAGAAAAAGGAAGAGAGGTGTGGTTAACTTCAATGAAACCGCAACTCAAAACATAATGCGATTATTGTACACATCTACATGTCACCATGCGGTCATTATACACATCTACATGTCATCATGCGGTCATTATACACATCTACATGTCATCATGCGGTCATTATACACATCTACATGTCATCATGCGGTCATTATACACATCTACATGTCATCATGCGATCATTATACACATCTACATGTCATCATGCGGTCATTATACACATCTACATGTCATCATGCGATCATTATACACATCTACATGTCATCATGCGATCATTATACACATCTACATGTCATCATGCGATCATTATACACATCTACATGTCATCATGCGATCATTATACACATCTACATGTCATCATGCGGCCAATAACATGCATGTACAGAAGGTTATATAATGAATTTAAAGCCGTCTTTGATTTTGATGTTAAATATACATGAAGGTAGGCGTATAACTTAAGTTTGTTTTTCATGGTTTATTTGAAAATGAGAGACGCTATATACCAAAGGGACATTCAAACTCATAAGTCGAAGACAAACTGACAAACAGCATGGCAAAACACATGGCAATCCAGCCCTCTATCCCGGTCAAAACCTACCCATTAGGGGGAGGGTTGAGATCTCACGAAACATGTTTAACCCCGCCGCATTTTTTGCGCCTGTCCCAAGTCAGGAGCATCTGGCCATTGCTAGTCTTGTATGTTTTTTTAATTTTAGTTCATTTATATTTTTTGGAGTTTAGTGTGACGTCCATTTTCATTGAACTGGTTCACATTTTTGTTTAGGGGCCAGCTGAAGCCCGCCTCCGGTTGCGGGATTTTCTCGCTGTGTTGAAAACTCATTGGTAGCCTTCGGCTGTTTTCTGCTCTTTGGTCGGGTTGTTGTCTCTTTGACACATTCCCCATTTCCATTCTCAATTTTATTCAAAAGACATGCAGTACAGAAAATGGAATATACAAACGTACCATTCATCTACTTATGTAATGTTTATCATATTACTTTGTACATGTAATATGTTTTCATAATATGTCTTTTAAATATCTAAATCCTCAGTCTGAATCATATACAATTATAGAAATGCATCTAAGTGACAAATTCGGACATATCTACGTAAATCTAACATAGGCGTAAACGGTCAGTAGCAGTGAATATAAAAATAAGATGATATGATATGATTGCAAATGAGACAACTCTCCATCAGAAACCAAATGACACAGAAGTTAGCAACTATAGGTACCTGTACGGCCTTCAACAAGGAGCAAAATCCAAATCGCAGGACAGGCACATACAGAATGTGGCTGGGTTCATCATTTCTGCGTACTCCCAACACGATGGTGTTTACTGTTAATTGATATCAAATGCAACATGGACGATATTTGTAGACTCATCGATGGCGCTCTTGTCAATACAGTTGGAAGGCCAAAATAAATACTAAGTTGGAGAGCCTTAAAAATCAATAAGTAATACGTACAAGTTAGAATGTTATCGTTTAAGACTTAATTAATTTTAAATAAGCTTTTTTACTTCCTTCTTCATTCAGGGCTATGTCAGCATTCAACTCGTGTACTTTACAACTGATAACGGGAAAGTGCAAGACAGAAACCATCAACTTTGTGACGACAACTTCCGGGAACCATTTTAATACCATTTGTTCAGCATCTATGAAACTATCAAATAATTTCTTTCTAAGCCTTATATTTATTTTGTTACGAATATTTTCTATTTTATAAATATATACATATATAGTTTGTTTTTTATTTAGTCAGTGCTTGATAACATTAAACGTTGTTAGTATTTGGATTTGTGGAGAAACGCACTAGTACATTAGTCAATATCAAAGCAGGAATAATGTCTGAAAGTTCTCAAAACATCCAGTGAAGAGTTTGCGAAGTACAAGTCCCAAAACACCGTTTCATCCAGTAAACAATTTCTCACTATAGTATACAGTCCGCCAAAAGTTAAGCACCACCTAAATATAACTGTCAATATTTTTTTAACTATTGCGAAAAAAATATTTATGTTTGGTGTTATGAATTGCCTATAGCATACACTAAGAAAATTCATTACGATCAAAAAAATTAACTCCGATATACCCGCCAAGCAACCTTTTATTAAAGGTCATCTGCACTTTTACAAATACACTGTTTCGATGCCTTTAAATCACCTTCCTACTGTCCCGCGTACAGGTGAAATTTGACCTTCACCAAGTCACTGTGAAATATGGCAGGCGGTAAGTTATCTGTGACTGAACGTTGACAAGCAACTGACATGTTAAATGCCGGTAGGAGCACTAGGAGCATTGGTAACCATTTCAATGTTAATCGCACCGTCATTGTCAGATTTTTACAACGTCATATTGACACTGGAACTGTAAATGATAGACCAAGGTCCGGAAGACCCCGTTTAACTACCTATCGTGATGACAGACTACTTATTGGTCGTGCTAAAGCCAACCCATTTACTCCTGCCCCATAGCTTAGACACCACTGGCCTCCAGGTGGTCGTGTAAGTGTTCGAACATTGGTCCGTCGACTTCATAGAGGCTACCTAAGAGCACGTCGTGTTGTCAAAAGACGTGCCCTAACAGCCAGGCACCGTATAATCAGGTTTCAAAGGGCTAATGATCATCGACGATGGAACATGAGAACCTGGCAAAATATTCATTGGTCAGATGAGAGTTGGTTTCTGTTACGACCAATAGACGGCAGAATACGAGTTTGTCGGGGAAATAAAACTGCCTATCACCAAAACAACAATTGCCCAACGATAGCAATCTTTTATGGTGGTGTTACAGTATGGGGTTTCTTCTCATACTGTTGTAAGCTGGGTATGCATATTTTGCAGGGTAACATGAACAGACAGACCTACAGGGATTTGGTGCTTAGAAACATTGTAGTCCCTCATTTTGGGAATCCCCAACTTGCGCCAAGACCCTCGTACATGGACGACAACGCTAGCCTATAGACCACACAGGGAAAGGATTGTAACCGATTACAAAGATCAAGAAGCCATTGACACTATCTTTTTGCCTTCCATGTCTCAAGACCGGAACCCTATCGAACATGTCTGGGATGCCATTGGCAGAAATCTCAATCGCAGAGATCCACCTTTGCAAAATATTGGCGATTTAAGAGGGACAATTGTTAATGAATGGAATAAATTTTCTCAACTAAAGTTCAGAAGGCTTGTGCAGAGTATGAGACGCCGTGTTATGAAACTGGACCGGCAGAGAGGTGGTTACACATCCTATTGACTTAAATATTGACATTAAATTTGCCGAACATTCCAAAGATTATTTGTAGAGACTTTTAATGATTTCGGGTGATTAATTGTTGTAAAAAAATAAAATCAAAGTAAAACTTAAATTCCGTTTCTGATGTGTGTAATTTTCACTATTTCTATGAACGCAAAATTCAAATGCATAGAACCTGCATCAGTGACCAAACTTAAGTTTATGGTTTGTTTATGGCATATGTTAGCAAAATTGCTACATGAATATTTTCTCTTTTTCGAGGATTAACTGGTTTTTTTAAATGAAAAAAATTTCGATGCAACAAAGATAGGTGGTGCTTAACTTTTGGCGGACTGTATATATATGTCGTGTATAGAAGTTCCTTCATGATATGGTATAAGTTCCAAATGGAAGAAATATACTGTAATATTATTTCCTCTAGATAAAATACAACAGTATGTGTTCCTAGCAAAATAAAGATTATAGAAAATTTCTTCCAACATGAACAGATATTATGGCTTTGTTTATAACAAAGCTTCTAGTAGAACTTCTGTTAGGCGGAACAAATACACGTTTACATATGTCCAGTATACATTTAACGTCTACATAACGAGTAATATGTAAAATGAGCACCAGTACTCAAAATTAAAGACCACCAAATTACAAAAAAATAAGCATTGAATGATTCAGGCATCAGTCTGTTTTACCAAAGGCTCAATTGACCTTATTGAATATGCTTTTCATAAGCTTGAAGGGCTGCTAAAACTTTAAAATTGGATTGTTTTATTTCATCGAATTGAGCCATCGTGGAATCCCATCTTGAAGTATGAGCGTCCACTTCTGTGTGGGGTGTAATTTTAGCAGTTACTTTCTTCTTGTTCAGACAGAGAAGAAATATTCCCACAAGGGCATGTGCAAAGTCAAAAATACTCAGGAAAAACACACAACTGCTAAATCCGTTTGGGAAGTCAGAAAAATCAACAATTTGTTCTTCATTTTCAGTTCCAAAAACGATAGAAAATGTGAATAAAAATAAATCCAATATTAAGACTAGTATTTCAGCTAACAGAAGTGCAGGCCAAATACTCTTTTTGAAAACTTTCTTTGAAAATCCAAAAATAATGTCCTTGTCTGAAAAACTTTGTTTTATTTGACACCCACTTAACGTAAACATTAACGCAGCGCATGCGTAAATAGAGAGAACATAGTAATCGACGCTGTATTTAATGCACGTGTTGTGTTTGTCAATTCTTCTTGAAAATTATCATTGGTATATGTTACTACAAGTACCTCGACCCACAGTGGTGACATAATTTACCCACAACCTAACTGAAACTATTATAAACTTGTTTCTGTGGCAACATTTGTCATTATCCAGCAAACACATTAGGATAAACAGTACAAGATCATAAATATCCGTCCAGTCACCACAATACATATGGATCCCTGCGTCCGTTTGTTAGCTTTAAACAGGTAACATAAAAATACAGTTCAAAGCTAAATTGTGAAGTGCTCCTATTTCAATCCGTGTGAAGGATTATCAGTTTACAGTTAAAGTTCGAATGTTGGTCATCATGAAACCTTTATTAGACCTTTTCAACAATTGTCTACACCTACAGTTGACAACGACTACGACAGGTAAGATGTAAGTGGTCGTCTCAAAGTAGTAATGGTTGTATATAATGGTTACCAGTAACTGAATTGAAAGGATTTTTTTGTTGCCTATATGTATTTACCACAACAATATTTTTGTTGTTGTTGTAAACCATTTACTGATTTAAATTCTTTAATTTTATTTTTGAATTGAGTATGAATGAGGGTCTTGATGGGGTTTACAGAATAGACATAAATGGACCAATACTACAGAATCATGGGGCAAAAAAATAAAGAATAGAGAAAAATAGGCAAAAAAATAAAGAATAGAGAACAATGGGCAAAATAATAGAAATAGAAAATGGCTTAAAAAGTAAGAGAATACAGAATAGGGATCCCATCCAGACCCCCATGAATGAATGAAAGGGAGATCTTTAATATTCTATGCAATATTTTTAGAAGATGAGATTAAAGCTACTTTAAACTAGGAAAATAAAAATAGTAAATATTTAAACAGACAATTGTTTTATGTCCATTGACATGGGCGGCACATTTCTATACACAGTCCGTTATTTTTGGCCTCAAGATTCCTTCGTACTTAGCAGTTTTTTTTTTAATTCACTCATACTATGTTCAATATAAATCTGTATTTAGTGACAAGTTGTACAGAACATTTAGATAATTTCATATTTTGGTTATATTTTGTTTTTAATTCCAAAAGCACATAACAGACTTTGACAATAATGGGAAAAGGTAGACACGGGTTATGGACACGGCACAAATAAAACATAAAATCACACAATGCAACACATAAAATAGACATTAAGAGTTACCGCGTGATCTTCAATACTGTCGGGTAATCATTACCAAGCAGCGAGATCTGATCGGCCCCGACAAAAAAAAAGAGATCAAATCCAATGCCGCAGCATAATATTGTATAATAAAAATTCTTCCGAGAAAAGAATATACCATTGACCAACATATTCCGGGCTTGGAACCGTCGCATAACACATTTGGCGGGGGTTTTACTTATATAATTGGATCCAACAGCTCCCCCTATGTTTGGTCAGAGGTGAAATAAAAAAGACAATTGGGAAGCTTAGTGAAACTAGATAAGAGTAGAAAACCGAAGCGTAGATCAACAAAAGGGAAAATCAAGAAACAAAAACAAATCCGGGGACAAGAGAAAAGGGCAATTTTCTCCTAGAAAACCAAAGTTATATGAGTAAAAACTGACACCCTTAAACGCAAGTGCTACGACAGGCTACGCAGTACTAGCTTCTGACAAGACACTAGACGTGTTTCCCGTAAATGTTATGCCCGGTAACGGAGAAAATGTATCAATAACAAAGGGACAACTTATAAAAGTCAATTATATTCAATATGTACAGGAGTATAGTGAAGATCTGTTGAGAAACGCAACCTCTACGATGTCCACAAGTGTGTTTTGGGCGCGTAACGGACAGACAGAAAGTCCCGTTACAATGTCCTCTCCGTAACTTAATTACTATGGGGATGATAAAATGTAGAGTCAAAAAAATAACATTCCAAAAACGAGTTAACGGCTATTGGCAAGCGGTGCGGTCTTCCATGGAAAACTCGTACAACTAAATATTAATAATGATATTACCGAAGAAGCAATGGATTCGGATGTGAATAGATTGCCGATTTTTTTTTTTTTTTTTATTCGATTTATAGAATTGAAAGAGAAATGGTTTATAAATAAATGCTTACATATAATAAGTTTTATATGAAAGAAAGGGGAAAAAAACACAGAAAATCCACAATAGCTATATTTGCTTAATATCCGTCCTTTTTCAAAATAATACCGTTCAAATCGAATGTGTACGTATATGTTACATACATGTTATACCTGAATGATTTTTATCTTTGATACGACCCCTCTATTTCTACTGTAAA